TTAAAGAGGCACTTTTTAGACCATTTTAATAAAAATTTTCTAATTAGTGCAAAATTTTGACGAAGCAACTCTGTCTGTTGTCCATGTGCAATGCCCACGGTATGTAATGAATCTTTCAGTTGATTATAATCTTTAGTTTGCATGATCTAAATTATGCTTCACAGCTTGGTTAAACAGCAGGAAACGACCCAGTTCTCCAACTGTAACCCCCCCGTCTGCTCCCAAATAGAGGACTTCTTGCTGTCTTTTATGAAATGTTGCGTGTATGACTGTGATAGTGGTGAGTAAGAGATCTATAAATGGGTTCTGGTGAGGAGTAAACATCATGTGGTCCTTCACTTTGGAAGCGTGTTGAGTGGGAGGCATTTGCTGAACCCTGGTGCACTTGTTATAATCACTGATTAGCACTGAAGTGCTAATGAGATGTGTCTGTTTTCTCCTTTGTAAAGTTACTTCTTCTAAAACAGGCTGCCTTAACAGAATTCAGGGTTAAATATATAAGGCTGGAAACTGTTCAAATAATAGCGCTCAGGTGATTCGTGCACACTGTTTGATTATTTAATATTAGCACCGAATGTGGTGATTTTATTGCATATATGGAGATACAGACAAAATCTGAATTCATTTCATGTTTCATCTTCTTTCAGCTAACATGTTGTATAAGAACAGAAAATACTGACAGTTGGAATTACTGGTCCTGTTTTTTAGAGTGAATCTTTTATCTGCTTTCAGTTAACCCTTTTGTGCATATTTTCAGGGAATAAAAGGGAGATGAAGCATTAAAACCTGTAGTTTTGGAAAAAAGTGATATTTTGCAATTCATTAATTTATTTATATTTGTTTTTGAAGTTGCATCTGTGTTGAATAACACACAGATTAAATAATTTCTTACATAAAAATATACATTGCTTTTTCCTGTGGTTGGAAAACTCGGAGACACAGTCTTTTTTGTCTCAGAAGCTAACACTGGCATCACACCGACTGCAGTCACAGCCCTGCAGATTCTTAGACAGGGAATGGAGAAAGTCTTGAGGGCTGAAAAAACCTCTAATTCCATGATTCAAAAAAGCTCCTAAGCATGTGCTTACGTCCATCCTTAATCAGGACAATGTTTAAGCATTTCTAGTCAAGAAAATCCTTTGCTGTTTTCTTTAAAATGCCAGAGTGTTGTTCAGCAGAATAAGGTTGATTGGAGTGGCAAGGGAGGCGCTGGTAGATAAGCTGCAGCAGGTGAAAGAATAACCAGGGAACATAACTGTGAGGATTATTAATGTACCATAAGCAACCTATTTTTGAGTTTACAGGCTCCCATTGATCTCTGGAGGAGTTTGAGCTCTAAAAATAATGTGCCTTTGGGAGCTGGGAGAGAGAGAATTGGAGCTGGCCAGAGGGAGGTCTGAGTAGATTGGAGCATCACGGGGAGATAATAGAGGGTCCACTGACTGCAAAGGGAGTTCAGGTAGCAATTATAAGCAATCAGAGGGCAGAGAGCACACCTGAGAGAAAGATAATATTATTAGCAGGTGTTAAAATAGCACTGCTTGCAAGGAGTGTGCTTTAGACAAAATTTGAGAACAGTGGGCTTGATTTTCCTCAGCACCAGAGCACTGAGGCAAGGTTTATCATCATGGAAATTTGGTTGCTCCTGGATTGGGATGGCAAGTGGCAACATTTCTGGGTGCTATAGTATCCTCTTTGCTTCTCCTGCTAATTGACTAGTCTCGTAGGTTCATGGCCTCCTGGAAGACTGTGTTTCCTTTGACTAGAGCTACTATGTCTCAGTTGTGAGTGGGAGAACTGGAGACAGCAGTTCTTTTAGTGGCTCCACTGCCTAGGGAGAGACCTGTGCCATGGGAGGGAGAAGAGGAGAGGTGCTTGCTCGGGTGGATGGGACATGATGCCAGCTGGCACCTTTCAGCCCTGGGGTCGTAAAGGTAATAAGTGATATTAATATTGATATCAGCATGAACTGGCTGTCAAAGGTTTGGGATCTGTGAGGAAACACAGGGAGGACAAAGGAGTATCTGAAGAAATGGAGCATGTGGCTAAAAGTAATCCCAGCAGTCAGATTACTTGGATTATTAGCAACACAGTAATGCAGTACATAACACCGTGTTGGCTCAGTTTTTAAACTCACTGACAATTCCACAGCAAAGCAGGGGCAAGCAGGGACCTTGCGCCTGACCCAAGAATCCGCCCTGGCCTTCCTGAGTGGAGGACAGCTTCCCTTGGGACAAACAAAGGCTCTTCCCAGACTTATGGACTGGCTGAGGCTTGAGAGCACCTCTGGAGATTGTCCAGTCCAACCCCCCGCTCAGGACAGGGTCATTCCTCAGGACCATGTCCAGCTGGGTTTTCACTGTCCCCAAGGATGGAGATTCCACAATGTCTCTGGGCAGCCTGTGCTAGTGTTTGACCACCCTGACAGTAAAAGTGGGTTTTTTTCCTATTTAGATTAAATTCCCCATAGTTCTATTTGTGCCTGTTGTATCCTGTCCTGTCACTGGGCACCACTGAGGAAAGTCTGGCTCCATCTTCTTTGTACCCTTATCACCATGATCCCTGGGGGCTTGGTGTGTGCAGCACAGGACGGCTGGTATTAGGAGCTCAGGAAATAAGAAAAGGCTAAACTACTTGGAGAAGATAAGTATGGAGCTACCACGCAGGGCAGATGTCTCCTCCAGGATGACACCTGCAGGAAACACAGCCTTACCATTGAAGACACTGAATCTACTAGAAAAGTATAAAAAAATATCATGTAATCCTAAAAGTCAGAGTGCTAAATTACAGCTGTCCTTCATTCCACAAACCTGCCCATGATGCATTTGGAGGCAGAACCTGACCTTGGCCTCTTTCAGCAGAATGATCAGAAAATGCTTGTGACACCGAGGACCGCGTTGTGCTGAGATGTGCCTGCTGTGCTGTCTCTGCACACCCTCGCTTCTGATCCTGCGCTTGAGCACTTGGGTTTAATCACAGCCAGCAATGTTTTATCCGCCCACCGCTTGAAAACAGTCACCTTGTGATATTCAGGAACAGGCACAGAACAGTTTGAAAGAGAAAGGAGAACACTCGAGTGAAACACACGGAGAGCGTGTGTAGCCAGGCGGTAATTACACGGGACAGGATTACACGTGCGTGTGTATCCTGGGGAGCCATCAAATGCAGCCTCAAAGTTGGATTTTTTTTTTGAGATCAGAAAGATAAGGACCTAAAATTACCTGATTGGAAGGACAGTTCAGCTGAAATGAAATAATGCATTGCCTTACTGGATCAGGCTATGAGATGATTGTGTTGTTTGACTGCTAACGGCCACAGAGCGTGTTAGTAGCGCTACGTGTGGTGTTATGACCTCTTTCCCGTGGACAATGGCAGCCCCTCACTTTTTTCCAAGGAGTTAATTACCCTTTGACTGCTTTCTTCAAAAGTCGCCAACACTTTCAAGCAGTTAATGTAAGCCATGCAGGTTTTTTTTCTGAATAGTACCTCATTTCTCCAGGGACGTGTTTCTGCTCAAAGCTAAGCAATTCCGACCTTTTGAACGTCCCTTCAGTACTTGTTCAAATATCTACAGCCTACACATGTTCGGGAGCGTAGCAAAAACTCACTTTATGTAACAAGTTGTGAAATATAGAAGGTTATCTCTTTTTTTCTCTGTCCTGTGGTTCTTTCTCTAGTTTCTGAGCATATGTTAAATGTTTGTGAGTTCAATAAAATGTACCAAAAATAGAGATATTCCTCCATCCCAAATACTTACATCTTAGGTCATTATACGTAATGCTGAGAAAGTTTGTGTCTTGAACTTTTGAAAGTTCATTGCAAAACCTGTTTTCCTCAGTACTGAGCTGTCTGATGTTAACAGCCACCACCGATATCTCTTAACTTCAAAGAGAACAAGAATAGACCCTATGCTGGGCTTCAAATTAGCTGTGACTATGCAGCAAAGAGTCACTGGGGGCAGGTCAATGGAAATTGCTCATCATTCCCCAGACAGCAGCTAAACATCCCCCCACCTCGCTTTACATAAGTAAATAAATTAACTTCAGTGGGATTTATACAAACAGCACAGAAAATACCATGCTACCATGTCTAGAATACTGTCTTCAGTGCTGGTCAGTCACGAAAATTAAAGCAGAAGTAGGAGAAGAGTGGAGTTGTGACAAAAACAGTTACAGGAACAGATACACTTCCAAAACAAGAGAGGCTGAAAATCTCTGGGACTGTTCGGTCTGGACAGGAGACAAAGAAGGAGACACACATCCAGTAAGAAGTCTAATGGGCAGAACAGAGAAAGCAGAGAGAGGATAATCAAAGCAGCTGGGAAAAAAAACAAAACCAAAAAACATATACGTATGTACCAGTAAATAGTATTTATTATTAGTATTTTATGTACCGGTAAATAGTATTTACCGGTACATAAATCAACTTAATATTTAAACTTACCAGTAAATTTACCAGCATTTACTGGTAAGTTTAAATATTAAGTTGATTTTTACCCAATTGATGCACTGGTGGCCTGGCTGCTGTGCCATACGGCAGGGTTTGCCACTGGCATCTGCGAAGCAGCACGGGGCCTTCCCCCAGGGACGAGCCCCAGGGCCCGTGTAGGGCTGGACCCTGCTCGCCTGGGGCAGGGGCAGCCCAGGAGCCCCCCACCCCTGCCAGGCAGCCAGGGCCAGCTGGGCAAGGGTCACAGCTACCCTATGCTGAGGGAAAATCTCAAGGCTTCAAAGTCCTGAGCTCGTAACAGAGCCATGAACTTTCATCAGGCAGAGATTTGGAGCGTAGGCGGAAAAAGCTAGTGGATCAGAAAGATTTGTTTCACGCCCACTCTGTATTCCCTGAGCTTGGGTGTAAACAAGTACAGTCAGTGAAAGCAAAATTGCAGGTGCGGGGAATACACTCCCCCTCACAACTCGCAGGTGCTTTTCTGCATGCTCTCAAAATACCTGTGATGCACTGATAAAGGACTAATTTCTGGTCTTGTATTTGTCGCACAGGTCTGACAAGAGAAACCGAATGGATTCCAATGAATGGAGATAATTTGAAATATTTTATATATTTGTATGAAGACTATGAATTTCCTAATGCTGCAATACTCCATAGGAAGCATCTTCTTTGTACATTTATATCAACAATTTCTTGTGGTCGATTTTGTTTAACATAAAAAAGTACTGCTGAAATGAAACAGAACACAGCAACTAGCAATGAATGTGTATATATTCAGCAATGATTTTCACCTGCGAATGGGAATAGCGTAGTTTGAAGATTGAGCAAAAGTATAATAAATACTTTTAAAAAAATCATTATTTGCAATTAATTTGTTTTATTTCCTTTTGAAAAAAATCCATATGGGCAAGAGTTTTAAAATGATTTGACAAAATGCAGAATAAATGAAGAATGTAACATCTGATTTCATGTTGTGTACTCCTGGTTATAGAACAGGAATCATGTATCAAGTGTAATAAAGGAAATTAAAATATTAAAAGGGATGGTCTTTCTGATGAGTTTAGCTAAATTCATCTTTTGTTGTAGACCTCAAATATTTCTTTTTCTTGATAATCTAAAATGCACTGGTGTTCTGATATTTGTGCATCACCCTTACTTTATACAATGAAAATACATCTGTGTTAGCTGACGTAAAACCTGCAACCTTTATTCAAAAAACCAGGTCATCCAGCCTTGATGGAACATGCTCCTGAACACAGGCTGAAGGACCACTATCCTCAAAAGCCCAGATAAAAAGGGGACACTGAAATACTGATGCTGAGCAAAAATCATATGATCACACCACCTCTTACATATGATGATTAATCCCTGACATTTGTTTTATACGGACTGTACATAAATGAAGACTCTTTGATGCAGATTCTATTTTTGGAAATGAGATCTTGTTGTTAGAGAAATTTAATACACTGTGTCTCCTTGGTCTCTCTTGTGTTATTTACTGTGAAGAGATAAGAGGAGTTGTTTTGATATAATATTATCCTATCGTTCATTGAAACTATTCTACATGTTCTGGAATGCTCTGTTTGGCTCTTGTTTATTCAATTACAATAAAGATAATTTTTCTGTTTAGAAAACAGGTTTCAAGTTGAATATTACTAACAATGACATCCATTCAATTCTTATTTGCTCTATCAGACAACACAAAAGCTAACTGGCAATATTTTTGTGTTTTAAGTTATTAAATATATTTGCATGGCTTTGTACAGGAAATTAGAAAGGAACTCTGCTCACTGCAGCTCAATTAAAAGGACATTCTTGTCTTTGTTACTTTCAATATGCAATACCGATGTTGCTTACTATCCTGCTCCATCCTTACATGCTTCTGGCTGATTTCCCTTAATGCGTTCCTTGGAGGTGAACGTCCCTGAAAGGCAGGTTGAAATGGAAGTGTCAAGCGGCAGAATGCATCAGGAGCACCTTTCATTTACGTACTGATAAGATTAACGCATCTATTCAATTGAAAATGAACAATTTTCCCCCACGCTGCATTATCAGTCCTTGGTATTGGGCTGCGTTGTTCCTGCCAGTCTGGAATTGATAAAAAGAGGAGAAAACACACAATCCCTTGAGCCAAAAGCGTGTTGAATCCGAGATGAGTCAGGGCCTCTGCTTTTATTATTCTTTACTTACTTTAAAAATACTCATTTCAGAGAACTGCAGAAAGGTACAGCCACGTTTTTTCCCCCTCCTGTCACGGTTAGGAAACTTCACAGTGGAAATTTCAGGGGATGGGGAGAAATGGGACCACATCCCAGTCAGCACATCTGAATGTGTAAGTGAAGGAAAAAAACCCATCCCTGGCACAGATGTGTGCTGCTTTTGCCAGATTTCAACTCCTTGCTACAAAGTGGAGGGGTACCGCCAGTGGCTGTCGAAACAGCTTAATGGTTGGGAGGGGCTAGGCAGAGGCCAAGAATATTTTTTCTCAGCTTCATTTTTATTTTAAATGAAATTCCAAAACATACAGAATTTTAAACCGTCTCAAGGCTGACAGCTATGGGGCGTGGGGGTCAGTGAGGACCCCGGGTTAGGTCTTAGCACTACAAGGAATCTTCGTTAAAGCATGAAATTGTCAACAAAGTACTAGAAGAAAAGGAGGCTATGAAGGATGTCTGTGTCTCAGCTAGCAAACTGTTAACAACTGGTCTGAACCATCACGTGCTGGTGATGTTACTTTTCATCAAAGTCTAATGAAAGGGTCTGACTGTAGGGCGTACACAGGCCAAGGAAAGATGCCCCAAGCAACTCTGCAGTCTGTTACTTCTGGCATGGAAAATTTTGCCCCCCAAATGTTACATTTTGGCAGAAATTTAGGG